ATCTGCTTTTGCTTCTTGGACATGTTTAATGTTTATCTGTGGCCATAATAATTAATTAGGTATGTATTTTGGTAATTTTTTATGTTTTCTGATTACCTCCAGGAAGATGTGATCAGGATGTGGTCTTCCCTTTTCACTCTCTTTATTGCTTAGCTCAGAGTTACTTTTTTGGGCCTCAGTTGGGCCTGGCTTTGGCGGCAGGCCATTTGGGTCTCGGGTGGCTTGGTTGAGGCTAGGGCAGTCGGTTTGGGCCTCTGGGGCCCTGGGCGTCAGCGATCGGGCTGCAGGAGGGTTGGGCATTGGGCGGGCGGTTTGGGCCTCAAGGGTCCCTGGGTATCAGCAGCTGGGCATCGGGCGGCTTGGGACTCAACGGGCGGCGTGGGCGGATTGGCCCTCGGCTGGCCTGTGCCTCTGGGTCCGGGCTGAGGCGGGTTGGATCTCAGGGGCACTGGGCCTGGCGACCGGGCTACGCGGCGGGTTGGGCCTCCGCGGCCCTGGGCCTCAGCCACCTGGCTATGCAGCGGGTTGGGCATTGGGGGCCCTGGACCTCGGCAGCGACTGGGCTGTGGACTGCCTGGGCCTTGAGGCAGGTAGGCGATTTAGGCCTTGGTTGGGCCTGGGCTTTTGTGACCAGTCTGTGGGTGGGTCGGGCCTCAGGGCAGGCCTTGGCCTCAGTGGGAGTGTCTGGGCCTTGGGAGGGCCTTGGCCTCAGTGGGCGGGCCTGTGCCTTGGGCATTCCTGAGCTTCGGTGGCTTGACAGAGGGCTGGTCTAGGCCAGGACAGTAGAGGGCTGAGGGTCGTGGCTGCAGGGAGGTAGTGTCCGTATTCGATGACGTAAAAAATGCCTCTCTCAGTCTCTCTGTATCGTGGGTACCCCGAATTTCCTGATATCTGCGCCGATATCCCTCTCTATTTGTTCAGCTTTGTTAGTTTATGCTTCCTTTTCTCTGGAAATGCAGCCCTTCTAAGAGGGGTTGTTCTAGCCCTGCATTCCAAGGTCAGCTGGGGGCAGAGGCACTCGCCAGCACGGGCACAGAAGCCAGAGTCGGGTGTAGGCAGGCAAAAGCTCAAAATGCCTGTAATTCCTCAGCAATTTGATCTTTTAAAAAAACGATTTCAGAATGTTGAAATATAGTATCTTATGTTTATTCAAAGGCTGTCTGTCTGCTACACAGAGGTTTCTTATGTGCAATTCCGCCCCTTTTGCCCGAGACTGCTCTACCTGAGCTGCGTGGTCAGGGAAGCTCCAAAAGTCCTCTCCTCTGTTCTGGACTTTTAAGATTAACTGCTCCCCTCTTTTTGTTATAAAACTTGTACCTTTACAGTTGTGACAGTCCCAATTAGTCA